CTAGCCAAATTTCATAATTACCGTTGCATGGTCTTCGGCGGCTACTGTACTTTTATTTCGGAGCATCTGCATCTAAGTTCAACCGAGAGGAGTACACAAGGCGTGAGGCATTTCGCGTGATTTTATGCAAAACGACATCACACCAAGTGCAATGAACATAACAGTGGTCGCCTGGTTAGTAAGGGCATGCCACTTAGGGTGAAAACCTTTCACTGGCAGGTTATAGAGCGCGACTTCAGCTAGCCGCTCGGCAAGGACGACGGCCCAAAAGGGGCGTATGCAAATCGCTTTCTGCTGGGACCGGAATAGTGAACATTAATAGTCGCTGAACAGTAACCGTGGCGCACAGGCAAGCCCCCTAACCCTACTAAAGAAAATTCAGTCAATCTTCTGTTCTGTTTCATGCTGTTTTTTAAGCAGGTACTTGCTCCTCTCGATGCAATCGACTACTGAAGCGTGCGGACAGTAGTCTTTAACGTTGTCAAACAATCCCACTAAGGCACGGTTCGCCTGATACAAGCCTTGCTGGAGGAACTTTTCTCGAAATCGAATTATGCGTCATTATGCCTCTCACCTGCGCATAAGCTCAAATCTCTGGAAATAAGTCGGATGGCCAGCAGCACCCATAGTAGCATGATGACCTAATACCTGAAGATACTACCTCCTGCACGGTCCCGAAAGCCTTCAAACTGGTCTTCACTAAGGGCGCTTCCGTTAACCGCCAATTGTTGACGCACATAGGTAGGCTAACAATCAAGTTCTGTCTTGTCTATTTTTGGGAAGCCTCGGCTGATAGCAACCCTAGCTGTCATGAGCCCGTATCTGCTTATTAAAGATAGTCAGCGTTTTTTAGAACTCACGCCGCCTATTCATATGCTTCAGTGTAGGCACATGTCACCGCTTCAAAAGTTAAAGCGATGCGCGGGCATGGAATAATCGCTTGAGTTGAACAGGACCTGCTTGCGAAAAGCCGGGCAGTGGCTGAGGTCCCTATTATGTCCCAAGCCTATACTGGCCTGCATCAGTTAAAACGCCTTGAAGACAGGAATTTACTGCATAGCATGAATTTCCGAATAGGAGCGGAAATTTAAAAAAATGAAAGATAATCACTATAGTCAGGTATTTGATCATTTTATCACGATACAAAAGTTGGATAGACAGGCAATGCAAATCGTAGCAGAATAAGCATGATCTGCCCGATGCAGGGAAAAGATGAAATCAGAAAGAGTATAGGGTATCCGTTTGGCTGCGTGGGACCAGTGCACTCCTGCAGGTTGTCAGTTATCGGGTCGGGGAACCGATGGGAGAAATCTGCGTGACCAAGTTAACACAAAGGGCTCTGATGTTGTCCAGACAGT